GTCCCATCTAAGCCTATTTTGTTAAGCATTCTTATAAAAGGATGCTGAGTATTGCTGAATGCTTTTTTGTGTGTCTATTGAAAGGGTAATGTGGTCTTTGTTTCTGTATCTATGTAGTGGATCATGCTTATAGATTTGTGTATGTTGAACCACCCTTGTATCTGTGCAATGAAGCCTACTTGTTCATGATGAATTATTTTTTTGATGTGCAGCTAAATTTGGGGGGGAGTTTGCTAAGATTTTATTGAGAATTTTTGCATTTATATACATAAGGGATATTGATCTGTAGTTTTCTTTTTCAGTTGTGTCCTTTCCTGGTGTTGGTATCAGGTGATATTGCCTTTGTGGACCAACTTAGGGAGGATTCCTTCTATCTCAATGTTATGGAATATTTTCTGCAGTATAGGTGTAAGCTCTTCTTTGTAGGTTCAGTAAAATGCAGGTATGAGACCATTTGGTCCAGGACTTTTTTTCTTTTGGAGGATATTTTCTACCGCCCCTCCCGCCCCCCTCTCCCCCCAATTTCAGTGCTTGATATACATCTGTTGAAGAGTTGTGTATCTTCCTGATTAAGCCTGGGGAGGAAGTGTATTTCCAAAAATTTGTCCAGATCCTCCATCTTTTCATGTTTGTGAGCATAGAGATTTTTATAGTATTTTGAGATGATTATCAGTTGTGCAGCTGAGTGGGCCTAGGTTTGGTGAGCTTGCCCTCAGACTCCATAGAAACTGAACAATTAGCTGTGGTGATGGGGGTTAAAGATCTGTGCCTAGTTTCTGGGGCTGAGCCCTGCCAGGAGAGGCTGACATGGCCCCACCCAGCCAGAAACTTATATGGAAGTAGGCTGTCAAAGACTTACAAACTGGTAGCCTTCGATGGGCCTTGCTCTACTCCCTGTCTTCTGCTTCACAGTGTACTCCCAGTGACGACTGTCAGGCTGGATCCCAGGCCATTGAGCTCTCCTACAACTGTGCTGTGGGGTAGGTTTCCTGCCCAGGATTCCAGCAGCTCATCTGATATTGTAGCCCTCCCTTGGGAAAGGGGTTCCCTGTGAACATGTTGTATCTAGCACCTACACTACACTTTCCCCACTGAACTGCCCACATGGGTTCCCTTCCTTCCTTAGAACAAGTATGTCACTCTCAGACTGTACCAGGTAGAAGTGTGGCCGACCCTAATCACCTTCAGGGTGCCCAAGTAGATTTGATGTCCTACTGCTTCAGGGTATAATCGGGTTTGATGGATCCGCCAGGCATGTGGCACCAGGGTAAGCAGAGACACAGTCTGAGCATGTCTTGTTTGCTGTAAGACCCCAAGAGGGAAAGGCCTAAAGTCCCACACTCTGAAACTCTCAGTGTTGTGGTGGTTTTTATCTGTACAGCCACGGGTAGGGGAGGAGAAGAGGGGCAGAAAGGAATCTGTATGGAGAAATGCTAGCAGTCTTGTTGGGAGAGTGTGTGCCCTGGAAGTCTAAGCTTGGAGTCATGGAAATTACCCAGGACCCGCTAAACTCCTTGTGGATCCTGTAGTTGGGCTGGAGTTTGGGAATATCTGTGTGGAAGGTAAAACCTGATGAGTTGAATCCCCTCTGGGGAGGACAAAAGCTCATGGTGAGTGGAGAGGCAGTATGGTGCCTGCCCCCTGGGCTTAGGTCTGTGGGCACAGAAAGTCCCTCAAGGGGAGCTGGAAGCCCAGTGCCCTGTCCAGGTGCAATTCACAGCTCCCTGATGGCAGCAACCTTTGGGCTCGTGTGGACAGAAAATCTCTTCAGCAGCTTGCCAGCCTTCCCCTTGTCAGAGATTCAGGGGAGGGAGAGGCAAACTGCTCCGGCTACTCTCGTGGCAGGGCTACAAGTCTCTCTGCTGGTATCTTGTTCTTTCTGGTTCTGCCTAAATGTCTTTGATAAAATTACTTCTTTTCCTTTGGTTAGACACCCAGTAGAGGGACTGCTAGATCAAATTATAGGTCTACTTTTAATTCTTTGAGAAATCTCCATACCGTTTTCCATAAAGGTTGTACTAATTGTATTCCCATCAACAGTTATAAGCATTTCTTTCTCTCTGCATACAAACCAACATCGATTGTCTGGGACTTTTTAATAAAAGCCATTCTAACAAAGGTAAGGTGATAGGTCATCATGGTTTAATTTTCATTTCCCTTTGGATTAGTTACATTGGGCATTTTTTTTTTTTTTTTTTTAGAGACAGAGTCTCATTTTATCACCCTTGGTAGAGTGCTGTGGCAGAGTCACAGAGCTCACAGCAACCTCCAACTCCAGGGCTTAGGCGATTCTCTTGCCTCAGCCTCCCAAGTAGCTGGGACTACAGGCACTTGCCACAACACCTGGCTATTTTTTTGTTGCGGTTTGGCTGGGGTGGGTTTGAACCCGTCACCCTTGGTATATGGGACCGTCGCCCTACTCACTGAGCCACAGGCGCCACCCTACATTGAGCATTTTTTTCCCACCTTTGTTCACCATTTGTCTATCTTCTTTTGAAAACCTTTTGTTCATGTCTTTTGCCCACTTTTAATGGGGTTATTTTTTTCTTGCTGATTTGTTTGAGTTCTTTGTAGATTAGCCCTTTATCAAATGTGTAGTTTGCAAACATTTTCTCCCATTCTGTAGGTTGTCTATTGGCTCTTGATTATTTCCTTAACTGTGCAGAAGCTTTTTAATTTAATCAAGTCCCGTTTATTTATTTTTGTAGTTGCTGTAATTGTCGGGGGGGAGGGGGATCTTAGCCATAAATTCTTTGCCTAGGCTGATATTTATAAGAGTTTTTCCTACATTTTCTTCAAGAATTTTTGTTTTATCTTATGTCTTTTATCCATCTTGAATTCATTTGTATGAAGAGATAAGGGTCCTGTTTCATTCAGGGTCCTGTTTCATTCTTCTGCATATGGCTGTCCAATTTGCCCAGCACTATTGGGAAAATAGGGCTTCTATTGCATTCTCCGGTGTATATTGTTGTCTGCTTTGTGGAAGATCAGTTGGTTGTTTGTGGCTGATTACATCTGGATCTTCTCTTCTTTTCCATTGGTCTAGGTCTCTTTTTGTGTCACTACCATGTTATTTTGATTATTCTAGCCTTATAGTATAGTTTGAAACCTGGTGGTAGATAGCCTCCAGATTTGTTCTTTTTGCTTAAGATTGCTTTGGCTACATGGGCTCTTTTCTGGTTCCAAATAAAGCATAAAATTATTTTTCCTACATCTGTGAAATATGATGTTGGTATTTCAGTGAGGATTGCAGTGAATGTAAATCACTTCAGGAAATATGGACATTTTAACAAGGTTGATTCTTCTTGTCGATGAGCTTGATATGTTTTTCCTTTTGTGTCAACTACAGTTTCTTTCCTCAGCATTTCTTTTTTTTTTTTTTTTTTTTTTTTTTGAGACAGAGCCTCAAGCTGTCCCCCTGGGTAGAGTGCCGTGGCATTACAGCTCACAGCAACCTCCAACTCCTGGGCTCAAGCGAGTCTCCTGCCTCCGCCTCCCAAGTAGCTGGGACCACAGGCGCCCGCCATAACGCCCGGCTATTTTTTGGTTGCAGCCGTCATTGTTGTTTGGCGGGTCCGGGCTGGGGATTCGAACCCGCCACCTTAGGTGTACGTGGCTGGTGCCTTAGCCGGCTGAGCTATAGGCGCCGAGCCTCCTCAGCATTTCTTAATTCTCTTTGCAGACATCTTTCACCTCCTTGATTAGGTATATTCCTAGGTATTTATTTTCTTTCTAGCTATTGTGAATGGTATTGAGTCTTTGATTCAACTCTTAACTGTTACTGGTATATAACGTAACATTAGAAAATGCCAAATAATGGATCTAGAAAATTCTTGATCCTGTAAAAATGAAGATAGTCACATTAGATGATTTCTACAGCTTTTTCCACATTAAAATTCTGAGCTTAAGATTTCTTAAGACATCTTAAGATGTACTGATTTGTGTACATTGATTTTGTAACCTGAGACTTCACTGAATTTATTTATCAATTCCAGGAGTGCTCTGGTGGAGTCTTCTACAGCTTTCTGGCTGTATGATCATATCATCAGTAAAAAGCAATAGTTTTACCTCCTCTGTCCTGATTTGGATAATCTTCATTTCTTTCTCTTGCCTGATTGTCCTGGGTAGGATTTCCAGCACTGTGTTGAATAGAAGTAGTTATGGGGGTACCCTTTTCTTGTTCCAAATCTTAAGAGGGATGCTTTCAGTTTTCCCCCTTTACGTATGATTTTGGCTTAGTTTGTCATAGATAGCTTTATAATTTAAGATATGTTAGGTTCACTAGTTTGAGATAAATGAGTAGAACAAATTGCTTATTATGTAGTATCTTAAGTTCAGAATTTACATGTGGAAAAGGCCTCAGAGATCATCTAATGTGACTGACCTCATTTTCAGATGACTAAGAATTTTCTAGAACCATTATTTGGCATTTTATACTGTAAGGTTTAAACACATATTTATTAAAACCTTTTTCCTTCACTATGCTGTTACCAAATGGAATAACACAGCCTGGTGCTAAAGATGATATATGGCCAGGTTACTCAAATTGTTACTACCTTTCACTATTTGATACAGGTAAATTTATCAGATTAGTTTAAGGCTATATACTTGTATTATTTGATTGTCAATTACTTTTAATACAAAGTTATATGTAAGTAGACTTCTTCAGAAACTTATTACTCCTTACCTTAGAGAACATATTTTGTTACAAATAATGGTAGTTTTAGTTTTAATGCTAACAGAATTGTACTTGTACATTATAAATGACAACTTCATCCTCAGAGAAAAGTAGTTATAATCTATCTCTTTCACTGGTTTTCCTTAAACAAAATTCAAGGGCCAAAAATGAGAATTTATACTCAAGACTCCTTTAACATAGATAAATTTGCCTATTATATAGTCATGAGGAAAAATATGATAGATGTATTTCATATTTTTGGGAAAATGTCTATACAGTTTACAGGCATCACTTGCTGATTGAAACTTACGTATTTTCATAGTGACACCCCTGGATGTTGTTAAAATTCGACTCCAAGCCCAAAACAACCCATTCTCCAAAGGTATGTATGTTATTATCTTGAAAATATCATGTTAGGTTTTTAAATGTTACTACATTCATTTTTGTTTCAATATTATTCATTTTGTTAATTTATTAAAATTGATATCTCTTTATCCTCATGCAAAAACATTTTTTCACCATTTAGTTGTACATGATGAAGTATAGGCAAAAACCAAATACATGTATATGATGCTTTTAAAAGGAAAACAGGGGGGCTTGGTGCCTGTAGCACAGTGGTTGTGGTGCCAGCCACATGCACCAAGGCTGGCAGGTTTGAGCCCAGGCCGGACCTGCTAGAAAACAATGACAACTGCAACAAAAAAATGGCCAGGTGTTGTGGCGGGTGCCTGTAATCCCAGCTGCTTGGGAGGCTGAGGCAAGAGAATCACTTAAGCCCAAGAGTTTGAGGTTGCTCTGAGCTGTAACGCCATGGCGCTCTACCGAGGGCTACATAGTGAGACTCTAAAAAAAAAAAAATTAAAACAGGGGATGATTATATATTTGGTTATATGCATCACAGATAAGAACAAAGTTACACCTGTTAGGTTCCTTAGATCTAGCTTCTTTGCCCAGGACTTATGCCTATCTTAGACCATTCATGATAATCATCCAGCTGTCACTTGAGTACAGTGACTAGAAATGTATTATTTTATTAGGAAGCTTGGTTAATTGCTTGGTTAAGTGATTCTATATTTTTATAAGATGGACAAAATTAACAATTCCTGGGTCAGTCTTTTATAGCTTTATAAAGATAATGGAATTTTAACATATTTACATAGCAAGAAACAGACTCTTTGGACCATGAGAAAATTGGCTTCAATATCAGTGCCACTCTAATGCATAGATTGAAATGGAATAAATAATAGTGGTATTTGAAATGAATGGAAAGATTCACTTAGGAAGAGACTAAAAAGGTACATTAAAGAAAGCCTTGAAAGCCATACATATTACAAAACTCACAACATTACATACTATGAAACAGACATAGTATTTTTGGCAGCAAGAGTGAGTCCAATAAATGGGAAAGAATTGATGCAAGAGGAAGTTGTACTAAATTAGGTAGGAGTGTACAAAAGGCTAGAATGAGCATTACAAATACAGGGAGACAAAACATAGCATTATTTACATTGAGAAGAATTTTTTCCCCATAATCTATTTTTGTCTGAATTTCCCTTCCATACCACAGAGGTTTCTTCAGACAAATAGGGAAGACATTCACCCATGTTCTTTTTTCCAAACAGGTTTTTCTCCTTTATCTTCCTCCTTCAGTCTTTAGATAACCTAAAAGAATCGATTCTTTTGTATATTTTCTTCTAACTACTGTTCTGAAAACATAATTTATTCTATTACTTTTCACACCTGTGAGTTTAGAGTCCTTTGTCATAGTATTAAGCAAGTCAGAGTATGTGCATTTCATCTTAAAATGTAGAAAGAGTTATCTTTTTCATGGTTACTCCTCTTTTCATATTTTTTGGTTCTCCATCAGTTTTTATCTGTAAAAATCTAGTTGTATGAATTAATTCTTGGTTGTTTGAATCTTCTTTATTAGGAAAATGTTTTGTATATAGTAATGGACTCATGGATCATGTGTGTGTCTGTGAAGAGGGATGCAACAAAGCATGGTATAAGAAGCCAGGAAATTTCCAGGGAACACTGGTAAGGAGATGATAATATTTAGAGTTTCAGTTTATTTTTTTTTTATATTTATTCTCACATAGTATTTCTTTGCTGAGGTTTTCTAATTTTTTGCTTCTTTCAACCATGCTTGTAAATTATCATTTAAAAATTTTTATGTTGGCTGGTTCTAAATCTTTGTCAAATAATTATATCATCTGTTTTATCTTAGTGTTAGCATCTGTTTATTGTCTCTCTTTATTTAGTTTGACATTGTCCAATTAGAATAATGAGTGAGTTTCAACTGAAACACAGGTGTTTTGGGGATGCCTTCATTACATTCTTATTCTCATTTAAACATTCTATTTTAACTGGCTTTTTCTGACACAGCTTGTGAGAAGGAAGATGCCTCCTTGTTACTGCTGGCTAGAGCTAGAAGTCCAGATTCTCCACTCAGCCTCCATGACACACAGTGTGCAGAAGACCTCTTTTTCTGTTGAGCATGGATGGGAGTTCTGGCTCTGCATACAGTTTTCACTGACTAGTGGGGTTGCTTTCTTACTGTTGAGTATGTCAGAAATCCTGACTCTTTACTGCTTTTCCTTTGACACCACCCTAGCAGCAGGTGGGGGGGCGGGGAAAGTAATTGCTAACCTGGTGGAGATAAAAATCTTGGTTCTCTCCTGACCTATTGTGATGCCACCCCAACAAAGGTGTTCTAGTGCCTCATTACAGCCTTACAAGGATAGAAGTCTAGACTACCTACTTGGCTTTTGCTACTTTAATGTGTCCAGGTGGTACCACAGATTTTTCTTTGGTATTTGGCTAGAGTGGTTATTATCTAAAAGTTTTCTGTATTACTGAGGCTTCCCTTTTCTAGGAAAACATGCAGCCTTTGTTATTAGCCTCTTTTACTTCATATGGTGCTTTAAGATTCAGCCATATTGTAGCATGTATCAATATTTTACTTTTTATTGCCAAGTAATACTCCATTATATAAATATACCGTATTTTATTTATCTCTTCGTCAGTTGATAGACATTTGAGTTATTGCCATTTTTTTGAAAAATCAATGCTGCTATGAACATTCAAGTTTTTGTGTGAACATGTATTTTAATTTTTCTTGGATAAAATTTTGTGTGAGCATGTGTTTTAATTTCTCTTGAATATATACGTAGAGTTGGAATTACTAGGTTATATCATAACTATATTTAACCTTTGAGAAATTGCCAGACTATTTACCAAAGTGGCTACACCATTTACATTCCCATCCGCAGTATATAAGAGTTCCAATTTCTCTACATTCTTACCAGTATTTTTTATTGTTAGATTATCTAGTGGGTAGAAAGTAATATCTCATTGTAGTTGTGCTTTGCATTTCCATAATTATCAATGATATTAAACACTTTTTATGTGCTTATTATCCATTTGTATGTTATCAGAGAAATGTCTATTCAATCCTTTGTCAATTTTTAATTTTTTTTGTCTTTTTATTATTAAATAGTAGGAGTTTGTATATTAATAGAAGACTTTCCTTCAGCTGCTTTTGGTTCTTCTCAAGAGAGTTCATATAGTGGGCTTTAATAATATTTTCTCTGATTTCATGCTTGGTCAGGAGGTTTATCTAACCAATTCTCCACCATTGCTCTATTATAATAATATTTCAAAAGTTTTGTTTCTCAGATTTAAGTAGAATAATCCAGAGTAAGAAGTTAATATTATCCAGAAGTGCTTCATTTTACTAGTGTTGAAATTCCCTTTTTTAAAGAATGGACATACATGAATCCCAAAAAAGCTCATTTTTTAGAAATAAATGTGTGAAAGAATAAAATTACCAATCAGTTATCACTGTAAATTTTTATTATTCAGGTTTAGTGATAAATTTTGATTATACTTTCTTACTATAATTTTAGGATGCCTTTTTAAAAATTGTTCGAAATGAGGGCATTAAATCTTTGTGGAGTGGCCTTCCTCCTACGCTGTAAGTTGAAATTTCTTATTTTTCCTACTAAAAGATGCTGGTTTTGTTTTGTCTTACAATCAGGATGGTTTGACAAGGTCTTGTATTTTTAATGTCAGAATGCCTTAATTTTCTGAAGCATTGTTTTGTAAGTGTCACAAGCACCCATACAACTGATGATGTGACAGAAGAACTCACAGGACCTGAAGACATTATACTCATGGATATGTTTTATTACAGCAAAAGAATACAAAGCAGAATGGTAAGGTAAAAAGACATTCCAGGAGTTGACCAGACACAGGCTTACATCGTCTTCCGTCATAGTATCACATAAGACCTGCTTATTCTTCTGGCAATGTGTGTGCAAAGTGATTCTGCCTTGGGAAACTTATTTGAGTTTTAGATTGTAGAACTTTTATTGGACATTATTTATATAGATACATTCTGTCGTTGAGACCAGCTGTGATTAGCAAAACTTCAGACCTCAAAGAAAGAATATTTACCATAAATCTCATTGTTCTCATGATTCAACCCAGAGCAATTGGTTTAATGCTTTAGACACACTAAAATACCTTATCATATGGAATTTTTCAAGAGCTAAATTTCTCATGAATTGTCCAAAGGTCAGGCATGCAAACAGGCCCTCCTGATGACAGAAGAGTTAAGCAACGGAGCTAGCTGTTTTAAGTCTTTTAATGCACAAGCATACAGTAATTTTTTTCTTGTTCAAAGATAAATTTGTCATTTATTTGACTTTTTATTTTATTAAAACAATAATATATATTGTAATATATATACTTTGCCTCCTGTAGATAATTCTCTATTTTTTCTTAAAACTTTAATATGAGGGTACAATATTTATGCTACATTGTTCTCATTTCCAGTGTAAAGTTCCATTTGTAGAAGAGCCCCTCACCCAGGGCGTGTGTTATACACCCACACAATTTACACATTAGGGAAGATTCCACCTCCTGCCCTCCCTCCTCCTGCCATATGTCCTCTTCCCACCCCTCCCACTTCTTCCCTGAACTGGTAGTTCTTATGAACATGTAATTATTTATATATTGATTTCATCTTAATATGGAGTACATTGGATATTTATCTTTCTTGCTATACTTTACTTAAGAAGAATGTATTTAACTCCATCCAAGTAAATGTAAAAGATAATAGTCTTTATCTTTTTAATGGCTGCATAATATTCCATGGTATACATATACCACAGTTTGTTGATCCATTCATGGGTTGATGGGCACTTAGGTTGCTTCCATGACTTGGCAATTATGAATTGAGCGGCAAAAAAACATTCTAGTACAAATGTCTTTGTGGTAAAATGATTTTTGTTCTTCTGGATAGATACCTAGTAATGGGATTACAGGGTCAAATGGAAGGTCTACTTTTATATATTTGAGGAACTAAAAGTAGACTTCTCTCCCAAAGGGCTGTATTAGTTTATAGTCCTACCATCCATGTAGAAGTGTTCCCTTCTCTCCACATCCACACCAGCATCTGGCGTTTTGGGACTTTGTGATGGGCTAATCGTGCTAGGGTTAGGTGATATGTTAGAGTGGTTTTGATTTGCATTGCTCTGATGATTAAAGATGATGAGCATTTTTTCATGTGTTTGTTTTGGCCATTCATCTGTCATCCTCAGAGAAGTTTCTGTTCAAATCACTTGCCCACTTATAGAGAGGGTTGTTTGTACTTTTCTTATTGTTTAATTTGAGTTCTCTGTAGATTCTAGTTATCAGGCCTTTGTCAGATTCATAACATGCAAAAATCTTCTCCCGTTCTGAGGACTGTCTGTTCTGTTTGTGGTACTCTTCACTGTGCAAAAGCTTTTTAGCTTGATCAAGTCCCAGTTATTTATTTTTGTTGTTGCTACAATTTCTGGGGGGAGGGGTGTCTTCCTCTTAAAGTTTTTTCCCAGGCCAGTATCTTCTAGTGTTTTCCCCACAATCTCTTCTAGAATTTTTATTGTTTACTGTCTTAAATCTAAATCTTTTATCCAGCAAGAATCAATTTTTGTCAATGGTGAGAGGTGTGGGTCCAGTTTCAATCTTCTGCATGTGGATAACCAGTTTTCCCAGCACCATTTTCTGCATTACATGTTTTTGTTAGGCTTATCAAAGATTAAATGATGATATGTGGCTGGGTTCATCTGTAGATTCTCTATATTATTCCATAGATCTGTGTCTCTATTTTTGTGCCAGTACCATGCTGTTTTGATCTCTACAGCCTTGTAATATAACCTGAAGTCTGGCAACATGATGCTTCCAGAATTGTTTTTATTTCTAAAAACTGTATTTGTTGTTTGGGTTTTTTTCTGATTCCATATGAATTGAAGTACTATTTTTTCATGGTCTTTAAAGTATGACATTGGTACTTTGGTGGAGATTGCATTGAATCTATGGATTTCTTTGGGTAGTATGGACATTTTAATAATGTTGATTCTTCCCAGCCATGAGCATGATATAGTCTTCCATTTGTTGACATCTTCTGCTATTTCCTTTCTCAAAGTTGCATAATTCTCCTTATAGAGATCTTTCACTTCTTTTGTTATGTTCTCAGTATTTCATCTTCTTTGGTGCTATTGTAAAAGGAATAGAGTCTTTGATGTTGTTCTCAGCTTGACAATTGTTGGCATATACAAAGGCTACTGATTTGTGGGTATTGATTTTGTAACCTGAGACACTGCTATAGTCCTTGATCACTTCTAAGAGCTTTGGAGTTGAGTCCCTGGGGTTTACCAGGTATAAGATCATGTTATCTGTGACTTTTTATTTTATTAAAACAGCAAGATATATTGTAATGTATATACTTTGCCTTCTGTAGATAATTCTAATTCTCTATTATCTAGTGATTATATGAATTAACATGGTAAATTATAAACATTATTTGTAAAAATCCCAAATAATACTATCATTTTCTACGCCTCATTTATTTCTAAGTATTTCTGTTATCCTTTTTATGGAAGAAATTCATTGATTTTGCAGCAAATATTTTAAACACTGCCTAAGGTTACAAAGTTAGTGACAGATCCAAGAATACAGGTCAGTTCTGCTCCTAAATTTTACCCATCAAAATTCATTATACAGAACATTAGGCATTCTAGACTTTGAATATCTGATAGACCATAAACTGGTTTCATATTACATTAATATTTATGACATGACAGTACCTGCAACTTAAAATTTAAGTTATAATTCCCTTTTGATATTTTCATTTAAAAGAATAAGTCATTAGAGTTCACTGAAAACTAGCATATATAACTCTGATGATGTTATTTATAATTAATTTCTGGTCATAAGCAGGTATGATATGTGGTCCATAGTTCAATAATGTTTTACAGTTGCTCGTGTACTTTTTCTTTCAGTGATTCTCATGTTATAATAAATGTAATTGGGAAAGAAGAGCTGGGAGACCAGAAACAGGATTAAGTCTAGGAGATGGAGAAGTGTCCTAATTTGTCTTTTCCCATTTATGACTTGAACATGTGCTTTTTATGTGATCTAAGTTTGGCTATATAGCCTTTATTTATTGCTGCTATATATTGTAACTACCGTAGAACCTGCATAGTTGACCATCTCCCTACGTTGACCATCTCCTTCAGTTGACCTAATTTTCATAGACTGGACATACTCTACATGTATTTATCAGTGCAGTAGACCTAGTTTGTTGACTGCTTCCTTATATTAACCAGTTTGTTATAGTCCCTTGGGTGGCTAACTTATAAAGGTTCTACTGTGTTTTCACAACCAGGATGTAAACTTTTAAAGGATAGATGCCTATTTTGTATCTTGTCCTGGCCTACAAAGTTAAGCACTACTTTTAAGAAAAATTGATCTCATAGGCTAATTTGTTGTGGTTTTTAGCTTATATGAAACATAAGGGTTTTTTAAACTTATATTTGAATTTAATATGGGTGTGTTAGGTAATTTTGAACAAATATTTGTTTCTGTATTTCTAACAGAGTGATGGCAGTTCCTGCCACAGTTATTTATTTTACTTGCTACGATCAATTAACTGCTTTTCTGAGATCTAAATTAGGAGAAAATGAAATTTGCATACCAATTGTTGCTGGAACTACAGCCAGGTGTAAGTAATAAATTTTTATTTTTATTTTAGTGTAGAGTTTCTGTTTAAATCTTGACATTCACAAAGAACGGAGTATTGGTATGATACTTTGCATTATAGCGTACAATATGTACTAATATGTCAATATTTATACTCCAGAAGTCACATGGTGGTGTAATTGCCATCAGAAGGAGATGGTACCAGCCTATCCTGGTCAAATCTTGGACAGAGTTTTTAAAATGACATTAGAATTGGATCTGATTCACCCTGACTTCCAAGGCATCATTTGGGATCATACATGATTCAGGCCAAAGTCCTGAATTATTTTCCTTATAGATTTTAGAATTTAGACTCTTATCAGAAGTAAATTTGCCTTTATGCAGAAGAATGATTTTCTCAGTGAAATAGAAATGAGGTTTTTGGGGGGCACTAACTAGAATGAATTTTTGTAATTGTAATAGTTTTAATTGACTATAACATAACTGGAACTGGAAGAGTTGAGACCAGAAAAAGTAAGATATGTGAAAATAGACTGTTATGAAATGCCTTTATCAAGGGAAAAATATCTGTGCAAATATGTCAACATCAGTAGATATTTGACTTTATAGTTTTCAGACATTTTAGAATAAAAGATAAAAAAATCATAAAAGACATGTAATATGTTTACATCTATATTTGCATGGTTTGTGACTTTTTGTTTTCTTTTATTTGCTTATTTGTACTAGTTGGTGCAGTTACTGTGATAAGTCCATTAGAATTGGTTAGAACCAAGATGCAGTCTAAGAAGTTTTCTTACAAGGAGCTGCATCGATTTATCAGCAAGAAAGTATCTGAAGATGGTTGGATTTCCCTTTGGAAGGGCTGGGCTCCTACTATTTTAAGGGATGTACCTTTCTCAGGTAGAATTTATCCCATTAGTATCTACTAAATTTTAGATAGCCTTGTCTTATTCATATATTAATTCAACTAGATTTTAAACTCTTTACAGTTAAAGGTGAGTTATCTTCTGTAGTGTCCCCAGACTCTTAGTTCAAGAGTTATTTGGTTGTCAGATCTTTACAGTCCTTTATTGAATGAATAGTTTTTAACTCAAACCTGGTTTTCTTTTCTTTATTGATTTATGAGTATTCATATTCAGAGAATACAAACATTTTCCTAAATAAGTCATTTAACATTATTCTAAATAATTATAATAATAAGATAAGTAAACTATTTCAGATCAAAATATTATAAAATCCATGTAAGAATACCTTTGAATTATATGGAGTCTTACCTTTTTAATTACTGAAAATAAAAATCTTCCCTTTAAATGTGTGTTCTGTAAAAGACTATTGTAAATCCTTAGGTGACTGTCCTACTCACTGAATTGTGAAAAGGAAGAAAATCATGAGAAGTGAGAAGTGCAGTTCTAACAGTAATTGGTAGAATATGTATGCTTCTGTGGCATTTCTCATTGAGTATCATAGAAGTTTCCATTTAAAACCTGAAAGAAAGATTTATTGAGAATCCTTGTATTAATGTTTTTTGTTTTTTTTTTTTAAACAGGGTCTCACTTTGTCACCCTAGGTAGACTGCTGGGCATAGCTCACAGCCACCTCAAACTCTTGGGCTCAAGCTGTTCTCTTACTTCAGCCTCCTGAGTAGCTGGGACTATAGGCACCCGCCACAACACCAGGCTCATATTTAGAGATGAGCTCTGGCTCTGGCTCTGGCTCAGACTGGTCTCTAACCTGTGAGCTCAGGCAGTCCACCCACCTCTGCCTCCCAAGTGCTAGAATTTATAGGCATGAGCCACTGCTCTGGCCCTTATGTTCTTGTTACTTTCTTTTTCTTAATCCTTTTTTGTGCTTCCTTATCCACATCTCTGTGCAGTTTTTCCTTTCCATAGTACTTTTTATCATGTCTTTGTGTTCGTTTATGCTGTTTAGAAACATACAGTATATAATTAATCATAGATTACCCTAACAATCAGGTTGTCTTTATTTTTCATTATAGAATATTTAGTGCAGAAAAACAGATAGTTATAAAGTATACTAATAACATGAGCACCTGTTCAATATGTATGCAGTTAAAACATTGTACTTTTTTTTTTTTTTAAATCATGAAACCATGAATATGCTTTTTCACCGTCAGATCACCAGTGGTCACTATGATACTGAATTTTATCTCCCCCCACCACTTAGGTCTTGCTCTGTCACCCAGGCTGGAGTGCAGTGACACCATGATAGCTCACTGTGACCTTGAACTCGTGGGTGCAAATGATCCTCCTAGGCCTCAGCTGGACTCCTGGACAGGAATATGCCACCATTAAGCTTATTTTTTTCATTTTCTATAGTGATGAGGTATTGGTATGTTGCCCAGGCCCAGGTATTGCTGTGTTGCTGAGAAACACAGCAATACCTTTTTAATTTTTAATAATTAAAAAAGTAAGCCTCCATAATTCAAAGGTATTCTTACATGGATTCTATATTTTGAACACATATAAACTGTGTTTTCTTCATTTTTAGTCTTGTTTATTATGAGTAAATAAGTAAACAGTGCTATTATGAAAATTTTTAAGCATTCTCTTGGTACACTTCTGAAAGTCTTGCCAGTATTAGAATTGTTGGTTTATACATTTCTAACGTACTAGGTAATACCAAATTCTTTTCTAAAGTGATTGTCTGGATCTGTGCACCAACCAGCAACACATGAGATTTCCTGCTGCTTCACACCCTTACCAACTCTTTTATTGTAAAGTTCTTAGTTTTTATATATCTAGTGATTTAAAGTGGTATCTCCCTGCAATTTGCATTTCCTCAGTTATTAAGTTTGGGAATTATTTCATTGACCATTTATTCATAATTGATTTTGAGTTATGGACTGTATTAAGTATTCTGTTTCATTTCCCCCCACACAGATAGCTAGTTGTCCTAGCATCATTTATTGAATAACCATCGTTGCTCCACGGAGTTGCAGTGTCACCTCTGTCATATCACACTTTTATTTATGCCTGGGTCAGTTTCATTGGTTAATTTGTCTAACCCCATGCTAGTACCACACTGAATTACTAGTGCTTTATGAAAAATCTTGATGTGAAATTTTTCTTCTCTAGTAAGTCCGTTATTATTTGTTAACTTATGTTAATAATAAATCTTTTTTTAAAGTGTTTTAGTACATATTTAAAATATTCTCCATAGAGACTGTATTCATCTTTTTATTCTAATATTTATTCATAGGCATACTGCATCCCCCAACTTTTAGTAGCTATTTTAAAAATAATGTCTTTTTGAAAAGTTATGTGTTCAAAATCTTAATAGTTGGTGTAGTTGCAGTTCATTTTTATTTATTAGCTTATCCAGCTACTTTTAAAACTTCTGTTATAATTTCAGTTTGTCTATCTTTTTGGTTTTGTATGTGTACGATATTTTATGTAAGTTATAATTGTTTTGTGTCAATTTTAATCATCATAGCTTTTTTTTCTGCCTTGCTGTCAAATACAGTTTTAAATCTGAGTTATTTAGCATCCCTATCATTTTCCTCATTTAAAAGGAAATTATTTTGTTGTTTTGCCATTATTTTTGATTCATGTTCTTTCTTTGTCAATTCAGAGACGTTTCCTTTTATCTCTAAGTTTCTGAGAAATTTATTTGTTTGCTTCAAATAAGAGTGATGAATTTTATGAAAATTTTTTTGTCATTATTAAATGATCCCCTGGTTTTATTAACATGGTTACATGACATTTACATTTTGTTATTAAACATATTAAAAACCTTTGCATTTTTGAGATAACCTATCTTAAGTTATAGTTTATAGTCTTTAATGAAGTACTTCCAGCTTCTATTTTCTTATTATTTTAACTTTTTTTAAAAATTTGATACCTGTGTTCATGAATAATTGACCTTTACTTTTTTCCTTTCACCTCCTGCCCTTATCAGGTTATGAAATTATAGTCCTACATTACTAATGCTTAGGTTTTTTTGTTTATTTGTTTGTTTATAAGACTGCCAGAATATTACTGAGGATTTCACTCCTTTTTAAAAGAAATTCTACTTAGGTATGTGTCTAAGTAGAAAGCAGAGTCTGTCAAGGTTAGGATTTTTTCTTTTCTTTAAAATCCACATTTTGTTTCTAAATATGTGTTCATTTCATTCTCTGTTTTTATAGCAATGTACTGGTGTAACTATGAAATTTTAAAGAAGTGGTTTTGTGAGAAATATGGTTTATATGAACCAACATTTATGATCAGCTTTACTTCAGGTGCATTGTCTGGTTCTGTAAGTTTATTTTGTTGTTGCTAATATTCCATGAAAGTGATAATTGTCACTTTGTATGTATTGACATAGTGCTTTTAGGCTGTACTGCTTTAACAATTTCCTAAGTATTTACCATTCTATTTTAAGGAAATAATTTATTAGCCAATAAAATAGTTGAATATACTTTATGTTTTTACTTTACAAATACATTATTATATTTTTCTGAAAAACGTTTGGATTTGTTAGATCATTACATTTATAATGATAATACTTTAAATAGTGCTTTATTATTTATAGAACATTTGGCAATAAGTGCTAGTAGATCTGATCAGGTAATATTTCATGGAGCATCATCCCATATGTAGATTTGAAGAAGTAGTTCCATCCTCTGCTGCTAATTCCTGTTTCTTTGGAAACATTTTGGCCCACTAAGTACTTTTTAAAAGAATTTGAACAAAAATTAACAATCAGAAGGGAGGGATCTGAACTGAGCATTTGGGTAGTAGAGAGTTCATCTATTCCCAACTCTACATATGATGGAAAGTAGTGGACTTGTGCAGGTTCACTTCACCATGACTTTGGCCACAAAGAGTTTCTCATACCTATGTACTTTGAAAATGAATTTTTGATAAGTTACAGTGAGACACTAACATACTGGAACCGCGCAGAAACAGAGTGAAGTGATAGAGATCTGCAGAAAAATGGTAGAATAATATATCAGAAAACCTAGGCTAAAGAATCCATTATTTCAAGATTTAGGTATAAATATTCCCAGGTTTAAAATCTGCCAGACTTATCCTAGTGGATTATAAATCTATTGAGCCATAAAAACAATTAGTATTGTTGAATAATGGCTTCTAGATATTGTATTCGGTTTTTAATATGAAGGAAAGTTCTCAATTTTGCTATTTCTACTTAACATAGAAAATTTATTTATTTATTTATTTTGAGACAGAGCCTCAAGCTGTCCTCCTGGGTAGAGTGCTATGGCATCACAGCTCGCAGCAACCTTCAACGCCTGGGCTCAAGCGAGTCTCCTGCCTCAGCCTCCCAAGTAACTGGGACCACAGGCGCCCACCACAACGCCTGGCTATTTTTTGGTTGCAGCCGACATTGTTGTTTGGCGGGCCCAGGCTGGATTCAAACCCACCACCTTAGGTGTATGTGGCTGGCGCCTTAGCCACTTGAGCCACAGGCGCCGAGCCAGAAAATTTATTTTTTAATGATTTTTTTTTTAAGCTCTAGAAAATGTTGCTGGCTTTTGACAGTTTTCAAATAAAGATTTGTCTCAGCAACAGAAAAAGCACATGAATGTGACAGTGTCCAGGCTTTTTGTCAAAAAACAGAAAAATTTTAAACCAGTTGATTTCAAAAGAGGCCTGTGTAACACTATAGCTACTACATGATAAATCATAGAAATGGAGAAACAATAGTTGACTTTATCTTACCTGAGATCTTGGAAAGAGACCAGATTTTACCTTATATGGTTTTATCAAATACTGTAAGAACATTATTAAAGGAATTTAATTACTTTGGTAAAAAAAAATTTTTTTTTAAATTAACTCATTTTGAAAAAAGGTTTTAAAAATTTGGTTTTTATCATTACTAGGGAGTAAAATGTTATTTGTGAACCATTGTAATTGTATCTAAATCAGGGGTCTTCAAACTTTTTAAACAAGGGGCCAGTTCACTGTCCCTCAGACCGTTGGAGGGCCGGACTGCGGGCCCTTGGACTAGTTGGCTGCTAAGCAGGACAGGCAGCTGTAGTGGCAACAAAAATACCCGGAGGGCCAGATAATGTCCTAGGCGGGCTACCTGTGTCCTAGGTGGGCCAAAGTTTGAGGACGCCTGATCTAAATATATAAATATATACACAAAAATTTAAATGTATTTTAAAAGATACCTAGGACTAAAAATTCAAAATCTATTGTATTTATATTTAATTTTTATTCTTTTTAAAAAAATATTTGCTGGAAAATTTTAAATGCCTACTAGATACTTAAGAATTTCTGCTTTGACATATGTGTTATACCTTCATGTGAAATAAAGGAAAAGTGGAACACAAGAGTATTAGAGGTTGTGAATTGTGGTATTGGAGTCAGAGAGATCTGGTTGGAATTTTAGCTTTGCCACTACTTAGCTGTATGACCTTAGGAAAGTAAGGGAACTTTTCTGAGACTATTTACTTCTGAAATACACAAGATGTGTCTATTTTCTTTAATAAGACTGCTCTCTTTAAATATATATGGCTTTATTTAAAAGTACAATTTAGTTGTGATTTGCATTAATATCCTTATTAAATAATGTGTTACTTAGAAGAATGTAAAAACATTTTAGGAAAAATTAAAAGATTGATTTCAATTCATTTTACTTTCTAATAGTTTGCAGCTGTTGTAACTTTGCCATTTGATGTAGTAAAAACACAAAAGCAGACACAACTTTGGACATATGAAAATCTTAAAAGTAAGTTTAATTTAAAACATTTTTAAGATGTAACTTTTGTTTTTCCTTCTAGATACCAAGGAATATCTAAAGTAAGGACAATTTTTAATTTAAGAAATCTTAAAGTCCAATGTTTATTAACTGCTAAACAGTTAGGTCTCATATATGCTATAAGAATCAATATTCTTTGTCGTTCAAAAGCTAAATTGTTTAATAATAATTTTTCCAGTAATTTGTTTTCACAGCTATTTCAAATTTTCATTTTTATTATCCTTATAAGTATTCCTCCAGATATATCAAGAAAATAAATGTAGACAAATCAAGATAAAAAATTAGTGGAAACTTTTTTCTCTTGATGTGTTTCCTATTAGTATATGTATACATTTTATTTGTTCTTATTTTATTTGTTTTTTAGCTTCCTTTGTTTTGGTGTGTTTTTTTCTCTCTTTCTTTTCCCATCCATTTTTACTTCTTAATAAGGTGTAATTTCTTCTAGAACAAAGTGTACTCTTATTTACTTCTACCAGATCTCATCTGTCATCATTTCTTCACTTTAGGCAGTGTAGCAAATCCATGGAAAATTAACTTTGACAAAATTGTGTTCTGTAAGCCTTGTGATAATAAGCCTGTTATGACGTAAATAAATTGTTCTAACCTATAGTAATATTTTGGATAATTTATAAAACAGGTATTATACATTTGAATCATCGATTATAGACCTTTATAAATTAATCTGATAGATATTGGTGACAGCCCTGTTTTTGACTTCCCAAATACCTAGTCCCTTCTAATATTAGAAGCTAACAACAACCTGGGAGGTAGTAATCAGAGTTTTATTGTATCAGAGTTCTGACATTTTCCTGTTTAGGTATGAGCCTTCTAGCTACCTAAGCCCTATTTGTCCTCCACTGGTAGTTCAGAATTACTTTGTTGCATTCTTCCTTCCTGCTATCAGAATTCCTATTTCCTCTGTTAAGTGAAATATTTAATATAGGAGGGATATTCTGTTTGGTATAATTTATCATAAATGATTAATGACTGTGGCATTGAGGTGGTCATGGTGGTGGTTATGGTGATGATGAGGGAGAAGATGGGAACCTCTACAGGTAGATCCTGATGGACACTAAAATTTTTTTTTTTTTTTTTTTTATTGAATGGTAACTGTGTACATTGATGCACTTTGGGGGTACAGTGTGGTGTTTTCATAGAAAATCCAAGACACTTCC